AATTTTGGGTTGCATTAACAGAGGCACAGCATGCAAGTCATGGGAGGTGATAGTACCGCTCTACACGGCGCTGGTGAGGCCTCAGCTGGAGTAGTGTGTCCAATGTTGGTCACCAACCTATAGAAAGGATGTAGAGAGAAACTGGGAAGGACCCAGAAGCAAGCGACAAAGATGATCAAAGGGATGGAATGCAAGTCATACGAGCAAAGGCTGAAGGAACTGAGTATGTGTAGTTCGGAAAAGAGGAGATGAAGAGGAGACATCATACTGGTCTTCAAATACTTGAAAGGCTGCCATAAAAAAGATGGAGAAAAGTTTCTCTTGCCACAGAGGGCAGGACAAGAGGCAATGGGTTCAAACGACAGCACTGCAGGTTTAGATCAAATCTCAGGAAAAGCTTCCTAACGGCAAGAAGAGGACGACAACGGAACAGACCTGCCTAGGGAGGTCGAGGAAGCTCCTTCGCTGGAGGTTTTCAGAAGGAGGCTGGATAACCAGCGGTCTTGGATGGCTTAGACAACAGATCCTGCAGCTTGGCAGGGGCTAGGCTAGACGACCCTTGCGGTCCCGTCTCACCTTGTGGCTCTATGATCTTACCTTCAGTCCTGCTGCCGCATTCCCAGCGCATGGAAGAGAGAAGACAGGCGATTAGCAAAGGGGTCACCGGGCACCGGGGCCACAGCAACGCGAGGGGAGCGGGCGGAGACGCATCACCCCAATGCCGCCCCTCCCTGGTGGAACGAGCTGCAGGGGGCCGAGGGCGGTGAGGCTGGGCTGGCTGCCGAACGCCCGGATTGTGGTGTTGGGAGCTGACGTGTGAGCAGGGAAGGTTAGAGCAGCTGCCTGGGGGGGCCAGACCGGGGCTGGGTGGCTGGTCCCTTTGTGCCAGCAGAGACTCAGCTTCCGGGGGCAGAGTGTGGCGCCCACAGGCCCGACAATGCCATGGAGCAGTGGGGACCCCCCCCCCCACAGCCGGGGGAGGCCAGCACGCTGGGGTGAGGGCATCAAGTCCTGCTCTGCCAGGGCACCGCACAGGGTGAGCTAGGCGGTGCCACAGGAATGGCTTGGCAGTGCCACAAATGGCCAGGGCGGGGGAGGTGGCAGGGGCGCCATTGTAATGGCCATATAAAGCAGGAGTTCTCAAACTAGGGGTCAGGACCCCTCAGGGAGTCACAAGGTTATTATATGGGGGGGGTCACGAGCTGTCAGCCTGCACCCCAAACCCTGCTTTGCCTCCAGCATTTATAATGGTGTTAAAGTGTTTTGAATTTATTCCCTCAGGGGGTCCCCAGTACAAAAGTTTGAGAGCCACTGCTATAAAGGCAGATGGGGCAGTTCGTCTGGTCAGGCATGCTGGGCCCCGGCTGGCCAAGCAGGGAAGGCTGAGCTCTGCCCAGCCCAAAGCGGGTGCGGGGGGGTGTCATCCCGGGGACTCGCTCACCTTTCTCACCCAGCTGCTTGACAATCTGCTTGGCAGGCTCTGTGGGGAAAACAGCAAGTGAGAGGCCTGCCAGTTGTACCCTGCCCCCCGGTGATGCGACCGACAGGTGTGGGACAGGCCCGGCCCCCCCGGGGTCGCAGCTGGGGGACGTCTGCTTTCTGCCCAGCCCCAGACCCTGCAGGGCACAGGCGCCACCCAAGCCCAGCGCAGCCCCAGGGCACCGGGAACGCGCTTCTCCAACGCCGCAGCTCCTCCACCACCGCCTCCCGCTCCTGGAAAGCGGAGCCCCAGGGCAGCCCATCTGCCACCCGACGGCCCCTCAGGCCCGCCGCGGGGGGCTGGAGAGGTGCGTTCACCAGGCCTCCTCACCGCATCCCTGTGATTGGCCCCAAGAGTACCATGTGCCAGGAATCACCAAGCCCAGAGCACCGCAGCTCCCATCCCCACACCACACTGTGCCCCAGGCTGTAGAGGGGAGCTCGCACCAGACTTCCTGCGGCCTGCGGCCCCGACCCCACACCACCATGCAGTCCATCCGGGAGCTTCTCCCTGCGGCGCCGGAGGTGGAAGGGCTCTGAGGACAGGACAGACGCAGCCATTAGAGCCAATGCAGCTCTCCAACTGGCTGTGTAACCTGCACCCCCCAAGCCTGGCACCGCCCACCGTCCCGAAACGTGGCAGCGCCCACAGCCCCCCAAGACACGGCTGCGCTAGCCCTGCCACCTGTGTACCCTGCACCCCCTGGCCTGGCACTGCCCAGCACCCCGAGACCCGGCAGGGCCCACAGCCCCTGAGACACAGCTGTCCCACCCACTGCCATGCTAGCCCTGCCACCTGTGTATCTGGCGTGGCACTGGCTGCAGGGCACTGACCATGTCCCCCCAGGATGCTCTATAGCTGGCCACGTGCTATGCCTGCCCCACGGCTAGCCCCAAAGCAGCTCTGCTGATGGGGGCTTGCCCTGCCCACCCAGGGCAACAGTCCCAGCACTCCAAGGCTTCAGCAACGTGGCCCTGGCTGGATCTGCAACAACCCAGTGAGAGAGGCAGGGCCTGGGAGCCAGCCCGGCAGTGTCCCCGTCCGTCCGTCCCCCCCTCCCCCGCCCCGCAGTGCAGCAGGGGAGAGACACCTGGCCGGGCAGCTCTGGTGCGGGGACAAGCAGAATGCAGAACAAGCCTCTGCAGGGAAGGCGGGGGAACCACTCCAGAGCCAGCGACCCCACGGGGGAGGGCCCCTGCCTGCTCTCCTGGCGGCCACAAGGAGGTGCCTTCATAGGGCCCTGGGCCCGGGTAGTGTGCACAGAGTCAGCAGTCAGAGGGTGGCTGGTGCCAGGTTCGATCCCAGAATGGGGGACACGTGGGAATGAGGGAGCCCTGAGCCCTACAGCCGCACAGCTCTGCCTGCCCATGGCAGGCAGGGCGCCGCGCCAGCCTTTGGACAGCCAATCCGATTGGCTGGCGGGTGGAGGCGGGGAATGGTTTGCCGATGGACCCGCCGTTGTTTGCCCAAGGCTCTGACAGCCGGGATAGGGCCTTGAACTTTGCCCTCCTGGCCGGGCAGGGAGGCAGCAGTCTGATTGCATGCAAAGGGGATGCGTGGGGGTCAGCCTGGCTAGCTCCGCCCCGGTGGGGAATTCCCACCACTGGGAACAGAGGCCACCACGGAGTCTGCAAAGAGAGGACACTGCTCAGGGAGCCAGGCAATCTGGCCTCCAGCACCGGGAACAGAACCCAAGAGTCCTGAGTCTCACCCTTCAACTGCCAGCAAATAGCGGTGAAACCCACCGGCAAAGGGTCTCTCCCTCATGCTGGTCCACACAGATGATGACAACCTTCTACTGCTGCAAGTAACTCTGTGAACTCAAGCAGCAGAGTTCTGTGGGGTGGATGTAAAGGTTCCAACCCTGATGATGCCGCAGGACGGAACTGCTGTTTTTTTTCAGTTTGCTTTTGTGCAGACTAAGGAATTACATGCAAAGAGCTATGTTAAAGGAACGTTGCAGCTGCAGAGTCAAACACTCACATTAGGAAATGCCAGAACTAAGGATGCCTGTATCACCTTAACTCTGCCTCTTGTGCAAGTATGCATTATGACAGTCAAAATATACTAGGCTTTTCCTGCCTCATCAGTGAACCAGATGGGCCCTGCTCTGGGGAAGGAGCAGGGCTGTGCAGTGCAGGAGGCTGTAGGACCCTGCCTCATTGGTTGCAGAAGCTGGAAGGGACGCAGTGAATGAGGCAGGAGATGGGAGGAAGAGACAAGAGGGTCTTGGCTTGGGCAGTTGACTGTTGTCCTAGAGAATTGTCCAGAGTTCCTGTGTGACGCTGGGCAAAACATCCAAAACAGCGTTTTCCCAGGTGGTCCCTCTTTGTGTGTTCCTGTGACGAAGTGAGCATTTTTTCATCATAATTTGTATGAATTGAGTGTCTCTCAGTTTCCCCTGTGTGCTGCATGATTGACTAGGTGGGGGAAAGGTTGTTTACTCTTTGCAGAGATCCAGATGTGACTGACACCTGGCTGTCTGGGCCTGGGGGCCATGCCACGGAGAGTCCCAGAAACAGTTGTCCGGATTTTGGCACCTAGCGACCATGGAAGGTCCCCCTGTGCAGGAAGCCAGCCAGGTGTGACGAGCTGGAAAACAAAGGGCTGGGGGGAGGGCCAGGTACAGTCACCCCTCCACCCTCCAGAGCCTGGGAACAGGCCGCTGTGACACTGCACCCCATATTCTTCACAACGATATTATTATGTGAAGATGTGATGTGTCACATCATGTGATGATGACAATCACCATATATTCTATGGAAGATAGTCATGTGAGGTGTCATTGGAAAGGTTAGGATTTGCTGAATATGATTATCCTATTCGTATGCATGTATCATTTTGGAATCTGAAGTTAGGAATAGTGACTATGTATCCATATTTCAAATGTGGTTACAACTGGGGAACGCCCACTAGACAAAGATACTTTCATTCTGAAAAGCTGGGTGGGGAAGGGCCATTAGGGAAAACAATCGGGCTTAGGAGAAGCTTATCTCCCACCTGGGCGCCTTCCTGAGGATGCTACAGACAGCCTCCGAGTTACGGCTACAGAGACGCTATAGGGACATGTGACCAGGTCACCTGGTGCTGGATTCCATCTTGGGAGATCAGTATTTTTCCACTGACTGGAGTGGGAACCAAGCTTTGAAACAAAGGGTTCCCGCCCTATGCAAAAGCTATTTAAGGCAGAGGAGTGACATCATCATGGTTCTTCACTGACTCCCCACCCAAGAGGGGTCCTGGGAACACCTGAGGAACAAAGACTGAACTGGGGGAAGGGCTGGACCCAGGCTAAAGGGGTTTTTATCCTGGATATGAAAGATCTGGGGATTCCAAGCTATAAGCAAATGCAGCTTGTCCCTTAAGAATCTGCAGCCTGTTTGTAGCATCTCTTAAGGTGAGGATCTGCTATTCAGATCCAATCTCTTTAGTCTATTAAGCTTAGTTGGGTGTTTTGTTTATATGCTGGGTAATCTGCTTTGAGCCACTTGCTATCACTTAGAATCATTTCAAATCTCTCTTTTGTAGTTAATAAACTTGTTTCTGCTTTGTCTAAAACCAGTGTGTGGGAGTCAGACCTCGGGGCAGAAAGCTGTCGTATATTCTTCTCCACACTGAGGGAGGGGGAGAATTTCACGAGCTTACGCTGTACAGTTCCCCGTGCAGCACACGACGGTATAACTTTGGGTTTACACTCCAGAGGGGGTGAGTGCCTGAGTCGCTGGGAAGTTCTCGAGCTGGAGCCTCTCCATGCAGAGCTGATCAGAGCGTCTGCATGTCACTGCAGCTGGGCGCGTCCCTACCTGTGTGAATGCTGGTGAAAGTGCAGGCTGGAGGGCTCTGTAGCTTGTCACAGCAGCATAGTGAGAGAGGGAGCCCAGGCTGGTGGGTCAGGCAGGCTCAGTGGTACCCCAGTTCCAGGTGGCACCCCGGGAGAACCCGTCACACCTGCTGCCGGGCAGGGGCCCCCTAAGAGAAAGGTCCAGGCGATCCCAGCGCAATGGGTGTGAATCCCAGAGCAGCACAGATGGTGGGGGGGGCAGACGCTTTGCTGGGGGGGGGTTCACAGCTATGGGCTGACAGCCATGGAACGCTGGGGCTCAGGACTCCTGGGTTCCATTCAAGCCAGCCAATGGCGGTAGAGGGGACAGCTACTCTCTGATGCAGGGACAAACACCCCTGGCTGGAGGCAGGTGGGGAAAGGCGACCCTGGTCCCTGCGGCTC